TGTCAAAATAGAGCCGCGAGTGGCGGCGACCATGGCGAAACTGTAACATGGGGCTTTTTACCATATGATAGATGCGCTTAATCATTTCATTTATCATTAATAGTAATTGCAATAAACAGTTCTCCTTATACAGCAGTGGTGCAGCCAGGTTACAGACTGTTAATATCTCCGAAACAGCTCGCACAGAGTTACAGGCATCCAGGCTGTAAGCATAACGCTCCAGCTGCTGAATGAGGGGGTGATGATCGTGCTCATTTTTCTTCCAAAATGGGGAATACAAAATATCTACTGTCACCATGTGTCCATTTTATGAGGAGACATTCTGCCTGTTTGTCGTGACGTGAACAATGCGGCAAAATTCCAGTTTGTAGAGATGTTTCACATCGTGTCTGAATATTTTCATGTCATTTATTCGTGTCATGCTCAGTGTGTAACAGCTTTTAAGAGAGCAAGACAAATTAAATTTAACATTTTCGTTTACTTGTTTAATGTGCATTGAGAAATCTGAGGGGGGCCTGCTTTGCTTCCAAATGAGGTGGCTTAGGCCCCGCAGGCCAACCCCCCCAAAGCTACAGAGGCAAGAAAAAGTATGTGAACTCTTTGAAATTACCTGCTCTTATGTATAAATTCGTCTTAAAATATGGTCTGGTCCTCATCTAAGTTAAAACAAAGAACATATGCAGTCTTTTTAAAGTCATTTAATCCAAGGGTTCACTTATTTTGTCCACCAGCATGTTTACTTGGTGTGCACAATAAAGACATGAAAGATTATAATTGTTATTAGCTTTCACACATTGTGTTTGTCTATATTTGTGACTAAGACACATTTTATGACCAATTAGTGCAGAAAACTAGGTCATTTCAAAGGGTTTATCTGCCACTATAAGACAAATCAGCCTTACCAGCTTTTTTTAAAACCTAATCTTCCCAAGTTGATGACTTCACAACTTTGTGTGGTTAATACGTGTCATATAATCATGAACTTGCACCAGCCACATATGTAATTGCAGGGTTTAATAAAAATATTCCCTTTATAAGGCTATAAAGGGAGTTTTAGTTTGGCTCAAGAAACAGCTAGAACTAGAATTGTTAACGCTGATTAACAATTTAATAGTATTTTTGGTCATTTTATGTCACTCTAAATCATCTAACAAGGCTAATTAGCTACAAAGTCAGTTAGCTTATTGGCTAAAAAATAACAATATATTGCCCCACTCACTCAAATGCCTACATTTACACTGAATCATGTGAAGAATCAAACAAAGCTTTTAGTTTTTTTTATTTTGAGCATGAAAATGTGAGCAAAAACACTTTGTGGGTGCTAGCATAAAAGCTAACAGTGCTACTTATAGCAGCTCTAGCTGCTTTTGAAAGCAGGAAAATGGGAAAATGTAAGCAGACAAATGCTAACAGTATGTATATTAAAGTAAAAGCATTACATACTTAAGTACATTTGACATTACTGCCTCAAACACAACAGTATTTTACTGTTTCTATCAATGTCTGTTTGTTTTCTATTTATTGTAGAATGAGCTGCTTCCATGCTAACTGGATGCCACATATCAGACAGTTTTGTGCCAATTCTGGCTTTCCCATGTGAGCGTTCGTTGACTACAGGGTAGATGTTACGCATGCAGGCCAGAATAGGGCCATATCCTGGACTGCTCATGCCATTTTGCATTGTGTCTACATTTATGGGATTCTGGCATGAATATTGTGGACCAACAATGTAGTTGGGCCAGATTGGGACCAGATTTAGGCCATATCCTTTAGTTCTACTCACTTTACAGCGTGTGGGCCAGATCTGGGCTGAGGACCCAGCCGTATACTGGGCCAGAACAAACCAACGATGCGGCCCACAAGTGAGCCCGACAAATTTTTCTAACTGGGATGTTTACAAACATTCTGATTTGGTCTAAATGACTTTGGTTTTCAATATGCTATGGTTGCCATGCAACATAACGGTCAAAGATTATTAACAGAACAGTTTTCATGCTTTCACATGTATGGGAGGTTTAGGTCGCACTTTATTTGCATATTGCTGTTACCTTGTATCTCCAAAATGGCAACTTTACAGGAAAAAGAAAAAAACCTACTTTACTTTTAATGTAGTTCAATGGAACCAGACTTTTTTCCAAGTCATTTTGGGCTGTTTCTTTTGGTCCATTCATCATGAAATTTACACACAATGTAAAAGGTAACAGGTCTTTTCAAATTATGTCAAAAACTGAAAAATGACAAACAAAAACGTAGATACAAGGTTTTCTTCCGACAGCAGCAATATGACCTAGTAGATAATCTGTAGATGTTCACATTATTAACTAGCATAAGCATCAACAGTGGGCTATTCAAATACAGTGTTACCTTCAATCATTGCTCAGCCAATCAGATTTTTGTACTGGCACTGTCTGTTTTATAGTGGTTCCAATGTCTATGGTTGTTGAAACGTATACTTTCTCTGCAAAACAAACTTAAGCGCAATCTTCAAACATAAACATTATATAACATGATCTTTAATGAGTCTGACATGCAGGTGAAGGCAAAACACACAGGACCCAGACGTCTACTGTGCCGTTAATGAGCGAGCTATAAAAGATGCTAGTAAGCACAACCAAAAGACGTGAGTTATGAATGTTTGTGTTTGCTTCTGACACAGCGAGGAAGAGAAAAGGAGGGCGAGCGACAGTCCGTGTGTGAGAGAGAGTGAATGCAGCGTGTGCTCTCAATATTTTGCTTACGGTAGGTTTTATAACTGTCTCCTCTTTATGAAATGTAATTTGCATATTTCCTCTGGAGGTAGTGTTATGGTAATGAACCCTGTGTTGTCAAAACGTTTTGTCAACGTTTGCATTTATTCTCATCACAGAAGCTATTTTTGGCTGTAGGTAGTTTTATTTAATTTTATCTATGTACGCACTTTGTTTTCAGATCAGGTCATAGATTTTAACGGTAGCTTTGACTTTCATAGGTGTGGTGATAATTGTGTTGTTTTAAAAGTTTTAAATGAAAGTATATGACTAATTCATAGAAGTAAAAACATTCTTGGTTATACTCCAATTTTTTTGTTTCAATGTCAACATGGAAGAAATGTAAAAGATGTTTTTTTCTTTCCACGAAACAAAACTTATATAACTTTCCATCAAACCCAAATCATAACAAAATATCTTCTACTCACCAACACAAATGTGGTATCATTTGAAAGTGTGAACTGTGTAAAAGTGTAGAATATGTTGTTATAATAAAATACATATCTTTTAGTGTTAATGGTGCTTTCAAAGATGTGCAAATTACCCATGCCATGGGTACTAACACCACCCCCATACCCTGACAGATCCTTGCTTTTGAACTTTACGCTGGTAACAATCTGGATGGTCCTTTACTTCTTGGGCAAACCACAATGCACGTTTCCACTATACATCAGTCCATTTCAAATGAACCCAAGCCCAGAGAAGTCGGCGGCGTTTCTGGACTTCCATTGTGCATAGTACAGTCTTAACTCGCATTTGTGGATGCAGCAACGAACAGTGTTTATTGACAATGGTTTGTCAAAGTATTCCCGAGCCCAGATGATGATATCCATCACGGAAGCATGCAGTTTTTTGATGCAGTACTGTCTAAAGGAACGAAGGTCATGGGCGTTTAGTTGTGGTTTGAGGCCTTGTCCTTTATGCACAGAGATTTCTCCAGATTCCCTGAATCTTTTGATAACATTATGCACCATTGCAAATGCTTGTGTTTTCTCACCTTCATATTAGCTGTGGTTTAACCTTTAAAGGTAAATTTCAGAGACTTAATTAAAAGATTCTTCTATTCTTTTGAAACCCTATTTGAGGACGAGGTTCTATTAAAACATTAGTTTTAACTGAAGGGTGCTTTCTAAGCAATTAGCTCACACCTTATGTAATTTATTATATATTAAACAAAGAGCAGTTTCTCATATTTTTTTATATTTACGCTAAACATAGACGTTCTACCTTGTAAAAGGTGCTGTCTTCTGTGTGTGAAAAACTAATTTGCCTCATATTAAAGTAGTGCCTAAGAGTTTACACAGACGCACAGCTACTGTAGCTGCACTCTGCTTGTGGTGGCAGTAGCTGTGCCCTGCTTTGAAGTGATGAATTTTGTGATTACAGAGGGAGATTTTACTTTGAGGCGATGGCTCCTCTCCTTTTTTGTGCTCCCTTAATCCGATTCTTAAGGCAGATAATTTTGCCTTAAACGCTTTGATCTCATTTCAAGGGGAGAGGTTCTTTTTTTTTCAACCAAAAAAGTGAGAGAATGGATAAATGAAGAGATGAGGAGGATGGATTTATAGAGCTGGGGGTGATAAAAGAAGAGAGAGAAAAAGAAAATGAACAACATGTTCTTATAAGACTTCTCAAGTTTGAATGAGGCATCATTCAGTTACAATCAATACTGATACCAATACTGGTGGCACGATACTACATTTCCTTTTCTGATACGATACAGATACTGATGGCGTGATGCTACTGATTCTTTTCTCATACAATAGCAATGCTAATGTCATGATAGCACTGTTCTTTTTCTGATACAATTATGATACTGATGGCATAATTCCACCTTTTCTTTTCTCATTTGATACTGATATCAAGATACTAGTATCACCAATACTGATGAAATGATACCACTTATTTTTAGACAATGAAACCTTGAGTATCACCTGATACCAAAGGGGCAAAAATGAGAAAAATAGCCCATATAAATGAAAGTTTGTAAATGAGAGTATAATTCTTTGTTAGCTAATCCTTGTCCTATTGTAAGCAATGTGTGGATGCTCTTCTTTTCATCAATCTACTTTACTTTATGTTATTTTGTGCTACAAGCAGGTCTGTGATGTTTGGTTATAGAATCAAACCAAATTTGTTTTCTGATATCCAATCCACTATTTTCTGGTGGTATCGGCTCAATTTCACTTACATTCTATCATCATTTCACTGTGCCATGAGAAAATGACTGACATGCTCTCCTCTTCTCAATAGGACGACTGATTCCATAGCCATGCCAGGGGTTTGAAGGTGATACAGGAAAACGGCTAACTGGGGCGACGTTATCAGGAATTTAGCTAACTGGTAGGTACAGCTTGGGTTGTCTGTTATTTTACATGCTTAACTAAATACTACCCTGATCGATCACCACACTAACACACAATTTGTGCTCAATTCAAATGTTGAGATATAAACAAAGTGGTAACACTTTCTATGAATGTCACGTTTGTAAGCATCTACAAACACATTTATAACATGTTATAATGCCCTCATACGGCATTATAAACATGATTATAAACAATTATAAAAATGAATTACACTTTATAGCCACGTTTATTATACATTATGAATTGTTAATATAATGCATTATAAGTAGTGTTGATAACATGTTATACTGTCAGAGCCAAAGAAGTCAGTCCCAGCTTGGAGACATGCTGAGACTGACTTCACCGTTAGCTTGGTATTTGTCTTTACTTTGCAGTCCCATGTAAAGTAAAGACAAATACCAAGCTAACGGTGGTGTACATTGACTTTCCCACATTGGGTAAAACACTGATGGCAGCACTAGTTTAAACTCTGACATTTGAAGCCTGTAATGTGCTTTATTGTGTATGTTTTAGTGTTTCAGTAAATCCTTCAGTAAATACTTCAACTTGAAGCCTCACTCTTAACACTGGAGGAGGCTTTAGTACAGTACGCTTCACTTTACTTAGAGCAGACAAATACCACTTATGAGCTCTTATAATTTGTTATGAACAGTACTTATAATGTATTATGTTAACAATACATAATGCATAATAAGCATGGCTATAACATGTAATGCATTTTTATAAATATTTATAGCCATGTTTATAATGCCTTATGAATGCATTATAACATATTATGAATGTGTAAATAGTGGTAAATCTGAAGTTCTTTAGGCACTATGTACTACCGCCATAAACAGATTAAAAAAAATACATTTTAGTCCAAAGACTCATTTGTGTCCATGTAGAGTGAGGGTAGATCTGACAGATATAATTAGCTTTAAAGATGAAAATACACTTACTGCTCACTTTATTAGAAACATCTACTGTTGGTCCACCTTGTTGAAACTATAGCTCATCTTCTTCTTTCCTATTGTGTGGTGTATGTATTGCATATTCTGCACTTTGTGTAATGTGCTGCTGTTGTTGTGTTGCACTCTTATGTCTGAAGAACAATATCTCGTTCCAATGTAAACAAGTTATACTGAGGAGTGACAAAGTCCACTTGACTTCACTTGACTTTATCAGCAGTCAGTTTTTGACCACCGGACTGTTCTTGGCTGGAACATTTTGGTAGACAGACTGTTCCCAGACTAGCAGTGACACTGACGTGGGTAAAAACTCAGCAACGACTTGTACCAGCGCCACACACTCTGGGATGCCACTACCAGTCAGTGTCAATGCTGTGTTGAGAATGGTCCACCACTCAAATGATATCTGGTCAGCTGTGGTCCTATGGTTCACCTTTCCATTACTGGATGGAGTAGAGTGGACTGATAAATTGTGCATAAGGACTACCGTCAGCAACTGTGAACCCACAACGTGCACCTACATGGTAGATGTTTCTGATAAAATGGCCTGACTGTGAGGTAGATGTGCCTAATAATGTAGAAACTATCACCGCCATTGACAGGAAACAAAATTGAGAAATATGTAGGCCCTGTTTGTTTTTGCCACCTTTTTTTTTCCTTATGGAGGATAATGTTTGGAAACTAGCAAGGTTTAGAGAAAAGAAATGCAAATGGCAGCGTATCAAACAGATGTATAAATAGCTGCGGGTGTCTTTGATGTGTCTGCATGAATGAGACTAATAGGTCCAGACAAGAACCCTCACTCTCTCTCTCAGGCTCTTTCTGTCGGGGATGTGCGGATGCTATGTTCCTCACATGACCCTCTAAAAGCTTCCAGAGTACTTTCAAGATGTACTAATGAAAGTTCAATGGATATATCTGTGCATCGCATGCATGCACACCCGCACATGAGCGCAAACACAAACAAATGGAGTGAAAAATGGTGTGCTGAGAGCAAAGTGGAATTGAGAGGACTGCATACCTTGAGCTTGGTGATGGAGGTGGCTCCAGAGTACCTAATGGCACAAAAGTAGGGGGGGAGCAGGGAGCGGGGAGCGCATGACATGCCCACTTTGTTTCTGATTTTTCCCAGTTTTCTACCCAATTTAGTCATATCCAATTCCACCTACTTGTTAGAACTCGCCATCCTACCCACCCAGAGAGAACGGGGCCAATTGTGCTCTCTTGGACTCCCGGACTCGGACGACTGTAGCATTGCCAGGGATTGAAGTCATGCCCGCTTTTTGAAACGATGTGAAATCACTGTGGCTGGTCACAGGGCGGTTGTTGAAAAAAGTGCATAGCTTAGACTGGCTGGAGGAGTGGATACACACTCTATGCACACTGTTGGCTAAGTCTCCGGCAGTGTGAATCAGCCCTTAGCTATGCAAGTAGCCTAACAGCTAACTTCACTACCTTTCATTTAAATCAACATGATGTAATTGTTGTTTGTCTATGGTAAAAAAAAGCACTCACAATTGCAAAAGTCTGTCATCTGAACCAGGCCCTTTAGTTACCTCACAAGCCATATTTTTCTATTACCAATATTCAGTTGTAGACATAAAACTTTGAATCGTGAAAGAGCTGCCAGGTATTTGCAATTATTCCTATATTGTCAAAAAGAAGAAAGCACTAACCCTCCATTGCTTACAAATCTGATCATTTTTAACATGCATTTGCTGTGCTGTGGTAATTTGGTGACAACAGTTATTATCCTTTTTGTGTGTTATATAAGTATTTTCTTAGGATTTTTTTAGTGGCACAATGAAAATAAAAGAAATTGCCAATGTAATAGGTATTTGCTTGTGTACTATTGGCATGTAAAGTATTAGACTTAAACATTGACAATATCCACTCTTATTAGTGTACTTTGTTAACCTAGTTTTACATTTACATTGCTGTTTGTTGGCTATTGGACCCCCATTTGTCAAATTTTCCCTCCCTGCCTGTACCTCAAATGAAGCAAATCAGCCAAGATGTAGTTGATGTCTGAAGTTCGCATCTTACTTTTTCACTGGAGCTACGAGGCTAGCGAGTAATAAAAGCTTGTGCCCATCAATTAGCATTGTGCAAACTGTCTGTTTAAATCTGCTATCAAACCAAACGTGAGTAAAAGTTATCTGGCAAAAAAACGCTCATTGATTTCAATGTCAAAGAATGCAGGAATGTTCGTTAGTGGTTAACTTCACTTTTGATCTCCCAAATTTACTAACCGTGGAAGTGTGAAACAGTAGAAAATCTGAGGGTGGGTTTTCTGACCTGTGTTTAGAAGTAGCTCTGGTGACCCCTAGTGGTGCACTTCCTTGTACTGCTGAGCTATTGTTTGGATGAACACATTGGGGAATGCAAGCATTACTTTATAATCTACACTATTACTCTGTTTGTGCTGATGTAGGGGGATTTTAGCAGGTTTGGATAGGCTAAAAATGTAGAAGACTTTATAATTATCTTACTCTATCACATGTCCATTGAGCCCTTTACACAGAGTACTGTACTGAAGCTAGCACGGAGCAACTAGCACCACTTTACAAATAAAAACAACAGCCTAAAACACAATATCCACTAAAAATAAAGCACATACAATGTATTTCATGTTTCTCTATACAATATACTCACAGATAATAACAAAAGTAGTGACAAGAATCAGTCTTTAAGATGGTTCCTACACCTTTTTGGTTAGCTACACAACATCTTTTGTCCATTTTATAGACAACGTTATGTCACACCACATGAACAAGCTGTTTATGACTACTTGATTTAGGGACACAATTTGTATAAAGCTGATTTAATGGCTACTTGCATTACTTGTTGGCTAACGCTGCTGAAAAAAAAACAGGTTTATGCTGGTCTGGTGCTGTTGTGGAGCTGGTATAGCTGGTCACCCAGCATGGTCATGCTAATGGGCTAGCATGCAAATCACATAGACTAGTTTTGCTGCTGACTAGCATAGCAGCATCCAAAACACAGCATATCGCTGCTGTTGGAAGAAAACCTCGTATTTCCATTTTTGTCGTTTTTTTGACATACTTTGAAAATGCCTGTCTTTACATTGTGTGTAAATTTCATGAAGAATGGACCACAAGAAATGGCCCAAAATGACTTGAAAAAAAGTCTGGTTCCATTGACTTACATTAAAAGTAAAGTGTGTTTTTTCCTCCTCCTGTAAAGCTACCATTTTGGAGATACAAGGTTTTCTTCAGACAACAGCGATGTGCTAGTTTTACTGGTGAAAGGCCACGCTGATCTACGCTGATCTTTCTGTCAAGGAGTTTCACTGTGCATTTAAGCAAGTTATTGCTTGTAGCTGGAACCTAATAACATTTAAGTGACCGTATGAGAAGGTTAATATGCTGATCGATCTGAAGATTAGTCCTGTGGCCTTTGCTTGTTATAAAGGACATACAGAGAAAGGCATTAATGCAAAAGGGAACATTTTTTTCCCATCTGTGCCTGCCTTTCTTTTTTTCTCAACTCTTTCCCCTCTGCCAAACTGAAAGCTCATTGTGGGCGTTGTAAAGCAAAACAGTGTCTTTTGTGAGTGTGTTGATATTTCCATTGTCAGGGGAAGATGAGCCTGGACAAGTCTCAATCTTCATGTGTTCCACACATGAGCTGACACTAGAGCTGATATAGAGTCAACACTAAAGTTAGCTCTAGAGCTAACACTAGAGCTGACATGAGCTAACACTAGAGCTAACACTAACTCTAGTTAACATTAGAGCTGACACAAGCTAACATTAAAGCAAACACTAGATTAAATGCTACAGCTGCTTACACTAAAGCTAACCCTAGAGCTGACACATAAGCTAACACTAAAGCTGACACTCACAATAATGCTAGAACTGACACTAGAGCAAACCCTAGAGCTAACACTAGATGCCAAAACTAGCTAACAATAGAGCTAACAGTAAACCTAACACTCAAGCTAACAGTAGTGCTGACACTAGAGCTGAGACTAGAGTTAAAATTAGATAACAGTAGAGCTGAC